GTTCACGCAGGGAGGATATTTATAAACCCTCCCAAAATAGTCTGGAAGTCCCTGCAAACCCCAGGGATGGGGAGAACGAGGAGGATGAGGGGGACAAGGAGGATGAGGATGACGAGGATCACTCCTCTACGGGAAGCAAAACCCTTCTGGAGACCCCCAGACCCCCTCTGGAGACCCCCAGACCCCCTCTGGATCCAGGTCAAGGATGTTTAAAATAAATCAGAGCAAAACGTGTTATTTTAAGCTGTGTCCCCTTCAGGATCAATGACGGTGACACCAGCACAAAGCTCTCACCTTCTCCCCTCAACTGAGAATTTTTGGGGAACCTGCTGCAGCCGCAATCCTGAGGCAATGGCTTTGCTGCTCTGAGCTCCTGGGTGTTGGGATGAGAGACTAAGGAGGGAGGAAAAGAAAACCTACCTTTTGGCCAAGTGGATTCAGTGATGCATCATTGGGCTGCTTGGATTCAATGATGCACCAAAAATAAAGCCCAGCTGCAGGCGGTGATGGGGGAACTGGGGGTCCCGTTGCCAGCTCTCCCCGGCACCCCACGGCAGATGCAAAATGGGAATTTTTTAGCCAGAAAAAGCTGTGAATGGCACACAAATGTGCCACAAACCTGCCACAAACGTGCCACAAATGTGCCACAAATACTTTTCTTCACCATCAACCTCTATGTGAGTCGCAGGGGGGTTGTCTCTGCCTGCAGCCGGGCGTTATGGGGAGCAGGGTGGGCACTTTTGGGGACTTTTTCGGTGAGAAGATGATGCTGCACTTCATTTTCCTCACCACGGGATCCCCAGGTGAAGCACAGGCTGGTGTAGGGCTCCTTGCACCCAGGATGGATGTTAGCCAGGTTGCTCAATGTCCCCTCCCTGAGGAAGGTGGCAAAGGGAACAGCCCCATAAAGGTCTCTCCCTGCCCATGGCCACGCTCAGGGGGTGACAAAGCCCCTTTCCCACAGCCAGGCTGGATGGCAGCGAGGTTGCTGGATGCTGGTGACCTCCCCGTGGCCATAAGCCCCACTTTTTAAAGGAAAAAATAATAATAATAGTGCAGCAACACACTCTTCCCAGCCACACAAACGTGTTGTCCTCCCTGGGGTGGACAACATCGCAAGGATGATGCCTGAGAGTGGGGAGAGCAGAACCTGTGTCCCCTGAGGTGGCCGGGTGTCCTCCATGGGACAATGATGGTAGAGTCGGGCATCTCCACCACGACCCACGCTGGATGGTGACGCTGGAGCCCTGCCTGTGCTTTGGGTGGGCAGCTGAGCTCGGCGGATGCCGCTGAAAGGCCCCGGTCACGAGCTCGGCTATCTTTAGCTGAAGG